TGCCAAGCTGAGTTGTTGCAGCTGAAACACCTGAGGGAAGGGATGCCATCCAGAGGGACCTGGACAGGTTTGAGAAGTGGCCCCCTGCAAACCTCATCAGCTTTAACAAGGGCAAGGAACGTCCATCACCTGGGTTAGGGCAACCTGGTATCAATACAGGCTGAGGGATGTGGATTTGGGGGTGCTTGTGGATGAGAGATTGGACATGAGCCTGCAATGTGGTCTTGCAGCCCATTAAGCCATGTGTTGGGCTGCATCCAAAGGAACATGACCATCAGGTCGAGGGAAGTAATTATCCCCCTCTATTCTGCTCTCATGAGAACCCACATAGATACTGAATTCAGCTCTGGAGTCCTTAGTACAGGAAAGACATGGATCTGTTGGAGAGGGTCCAGAGGTGGCCACAAAAGTGATCAGAGGGCTGGAACACCTCTCCTATCATGAACAACTGAGAGGGTTGATCTTTTTCAGCCTGGAGAAGAAAAGACTTCAGGGAGATCTTACTGTGCCCTTAAAAGGGCCTTGTAAGAAAGATGGGGAGACACTTCCTAGCAGGGCCTGTTACAAAAGGACAAGGGATAATGGTTTTAAACTGAAAAAGGGGAAATTCAGACTAGGTATTAGAATAAATTTTTTATTATGAGGGTAATGAAACACTGGCACAGACTGCCCAGAGAGGTGGTAGATGCCCTATCCCTGGAAGTGTTTAAAGTCATGTTCACAGGGCTCTGAGCAACCTGGTCTAGTTGAAGATGTCCCAACTCAATGTAGGGGGTACTGGACTAGATGACCTTTAAAGGTCCCTTCCAAGCCAAACTATTCTATCATCGTATCTCAAATACGGAAATAGTAGCAGTATGTGTGACCTTTTTATATATAAATTCATTGCAGAAGAGAGTAGACAATCCTTCTTCTTCCCCATTAGTAGCCTATTTTTGCTTTTTTTTAAATTTTGTGTTTCATTCATTTTATTTAATACTAATTACACTAACTAGTTGAGGACAACATCCAGGCTAAGGAAAATACATTACTATAGATTTATAAAGGTCTGAAGCAATACTGAAGAACCCCCTCTTCACGCAGACGGAAAAGACTAAAAAAGCAAAGAAGTATGTTCAGCATGTAAAGCACAGACTGTGCCACCTCTATCAATTGCTTTTCATACATAATCATAGAGGTGATCGGAACAATCATGACTTGACAAGTATTTATGAAAAATTCTTGCCATGAAACAGGTCAGAAAAATAACGGAGGCATGGACATGAACTTAAGTATCATTCATTTGTATAGTCTGCACAGGAATAGAAAGCGCACACATGATCGTACATATGAAAGTGCTTACAGGATTAGCAGCTAATTTCCTCCTTACATAAAAAAAAAAATAAAATAAATAAACCAGACTCAGGTTTTAATCACCTCATGTTTGCTATTACATAAACCAGAAACTCCCTTCTCTGCAGTACTGGTGCTCTGAAGCTGCACACTATCATGGACAGGAACATGACGTGCTGTCAGAGTAACTCTCAGGCTAAGAGCTCTCCAACAGCCTTTCACTTCCTCACTGCAGAGTTACTTGTTTTGTCCATTTTTTCCCAGACTTTAAAAAAGTCCTTCTATGAAGGATGAGTGTAATCTTTTTCATCATACAAACAGAGCAGAACAATAACATCTTTTATGTTTGCGTGTACATCTATGGGCAAGCAAACAAATTAAGTCATCCCAACCTGACCTGTAATGTAGTATGTTTTTCACGTACTGAGATGAAAGTGCAGGGCTCCATGAGATTATACTCAGTACATGATAGAATTAATTCTTCTAATTCAAGTCACTTTCTAGACTCTCTGCTTGCAAGCCTACTTTCTGACTTACGTGTTCTTAATGAGAGGATACACACACAGGAGTATGTGGCCTGCAGATACATATCCTGCAGATATAAACAGATTCAAATATCACCAGTGTTTTAAAACAGCTCAACTGAAGAAGTTTCTCTTATTTAGGATATTAGAAGCAAAAGCAAAAGCATTACATCTTTCTCTATTATTTGGTTTTTCAAACACTTGAAAGTGGTTTCAAAATTAAGTCTTTTTAAATTCATATGTGAAAACCTCTAACAAATGGTCTTCATAAAGAACAAGAAGAGAGCCATGTGTAAGTAGAGTAATCCCAACAGAAATAATGAATGAAAAAGTACACCCACAAGACACTCTTTTCCTTATTTGGAAACAGACACAAACTCTCTTGCTTAAAAAGACAATCTTGCTACCATCTTTTTACAACTACAGTATAATCACTGCCTAATCATTCTTCATGGTTGACTCAATGTCTTATCTGAAGTAGACAGGTGCTAAGAGCTTGTCTAAAATAAGCTAAGACAACATAAAAGACTGTGCAAGATGCCTGTTACTGGAAGTATGAAAGGAGTAGAATTTCAATGATCCATGAAGCATTTGCTAGAGTATACTTACCATCCACAAGATGATGGGCAACATCAATTTTGTACTCAGCACAGAACTATTTTTAAAGACTGCTACTTGCCAAGGATAAAAGCAGGCTTGTAAGTCCCATGTGCTTGCTTTTTTTCTTTAGAAATACTATGGATATAACATATCTTCATTCAAAGGAGATATAAATGTAGACACAGATATTCAGCATACAGAAATAGCTTTCTTAACATGCATTTTCAAATCTTCCTGTTTGAAAAAAGGCCCAGATTTATGGCTAACATTTACATGCTTACTGTATTCTGCAGCAGTCTTTAATAATTTACAGATGACTATCCTTGTCAGGAAATTAAGTCTCTTAGGCAGTGTTCATTTAACTGTCTGGGACATGCCTCTTCACAGCAGTTCAAACTCTACAGTCAAGATTTCCCAAAGTCTCAAAATGTGGGAAGCGTGTGGAAGACAAGGAGGTACAACATCTGGATTTGCCCCCAGATGGGGAAACAGACCAACTGATGGTGCATTTGTTAGAGGATGCTGTATGAAACCTTGGACAATGAATGAGGCCACCTCCAGTACATTAACAGTAAAACAGTTCTGTAAGTCTCAGGTTCCTTAGAGCCTCTTTGCTTCAGAAACATCTTACACTTATACAGTACTATTTAGCCAGAAACCCAACAGAGCCAAAAAACACGTTTCAGGCTTAAGGTGGCAGATGAGATCATTCCACCCACCATGGAAACACAACCATTTGGTATAACAACATACATGATTACAAAATAATTGGACAAATGAAGAAGCAAATTATACACCTACTCTAAAATTGTAACTACTTTTATATAAATAAAGTTGCTTGTATAGATAACGCAATTCCCAAAACATAAGGCACAGAAGTCAAAGGGACACTGCCAAAAGAATGATATTAACTCTATCATTTTCATCTCAGATAAACTGAAATAGCAACAAATTCAACACTTTTGAAAATTCTCATTATTTGGTGAGCTTTGCAGCATGATCACTGCTGGCTTTTTAATCTTCACTCAATTTCAACCACAAAAAAAAAAAAAAAAAAAAAAGTACTTTTATTTTTTGGCTTCTATTAAAAAAAGCCACAACACAATATGAATTGTCTGCATGACAAGTTTTGGATGAAGATTCCTAATGACAGAACAACACCTACCTTTTATTGCTTACAGAAAAAATTACCTACCAGATACAAAATGGCTTGCATAGCTGGATCTTCTAAGTGACGTGCAGACCTTTTCTGGGGCTATGCATGTACATTTATTAAGCACTAAGTCAGCAGAGAGGGAAACATGCCAGCTGCACAAATATCACTTCACACAGCACCTGCTGCAAAGTGTACTCTAGAGCTCTGCTGAGTAAGTGACATGATGCAATCTTGCAGAGTTTAGGAAATATCACAGGATGAAAGAGTAAAGAGCTATATCTTTACTCTGAGTATGTATTCAAAAATTACCTCAGTCAACCAGATTCTGAGACAGCTTATTAGCTTATACAAAGCTAATATACTCATGAACTCATGGATGCTACTTCTGATTGACAGCAAGTCAACTTTCAAAAACTAATTACGTAATTTCATTGCCAAATCCCCACAAAACCCCCAGGTCATTGTATATCCTAAACAGTAGCTTTAAGAAACTTAAAGATGTTTAAAGGGATGTTCTGCCTTTCATGAAACTTTAAAACCTTACATTCACTATTAAAAATACGGTCATTTATCCATTTCAAAACCATCACAATCCCATGGTGGGTGTACTTTGTAAGCAATCGAAGAGAACTGGTTCCATCTAGTGGCTGATCAGAGTTACAGGCATTCAGAGAATTTTCATGTTTCTTGCCATTCCAATTTGTAGTCCCAATGCGAAGAATGATACTCGCACCAAACACTGCACTTCACAACCTAATACAAAAAAATCTAACAGCACTGGGATCGTGCAAAACTGTTCTAAACAAACAAACAAAAAAAAGAGCTAACACAGTTTTTATTGTAGCATTTCAGTGACATAAGAATATCTTGCTAAATAGTGAAGCTGAGACTCTCCCTACAGAATGTTATTTGCTCAAACGCCTTTCATGTTTTGTACTCTACTAATTAGAGATTAAGGTATTTGTTTGAGGTAGTTGCAGGATTCTATAAGCTTTGGATCCTTGCAGACTTTAGTGATAATCTGTTGCTAAAAATACCCATAGGAAGTGTAGCTGTGCTACTAACTCCACAGTGGAGAGAACTTCTACTGAAAAAATGACTTAGCCTCTACAATGACAGCTCCTCTAGATACCAATCTTCTGTCTAACCTACCAAACCATCTTTATCCCTGCTGTGCCAAACACTCCACCCTCATTTCTCTCCCTTTCTGCTGCTGGACTATCAACGATATGAAAGCTGTGAAAACAAACAGCAGTGAAAATTTTGAGCATGGAAAGAGCACCTTAACAACCCACTATACAACACTAAGTCAACCATGCTGTTTCACTTGAGCCTCTCAGACCCAGTAGGTGTTTTTATAAATCCATAAAATAAATGGCAGAACTTACCTGTGATTTGTGTTGTTATGGAAACAAGCAATGAAAAATTCGAAGCTGCCATGGAAATATTAACAGAGTAATTGGTGCCTGGCTGCAAATCAAAACAAATTTCTGGAGCCTGCTTGTGTGTAGTAAGGTCGAAGATCATTTCATGAAAGAACTCTTTCTGATACCAACGCTGGCCTTGCACATGAAACTGTAACCAAACAATCACAGCATGGAAATTGCAATGCTTCAAAAAATCACTTGCATTCAGTCATGTCATGCTCTAAATTAGAAGAAAGAGCAGAAAAACACGCCACTGCATAGAGACTGCAAAAAAAATGTTGGCACTGACAGTTACTCAAATTCAAATGCTTCCTAAATTTGACAGGAATTGTAGTTCCTCTTGACCATCTCTGACATTGTCCTAGTTCTTTCACTTCTTCTCCTGCTAGTCTAGACTCTTTTTTATTATAATGTGGTTTCCTCTAAGTCTTGATTTCCTGCTAACACGCAGTCTTCCAGTAATAGTGTATTTTCACTATCATACAGCCAAATGGTGCAAAGTTAACAGAAGTAACCTCACATGAACACCCTGTCTGACTCTAACAACAAGTCAAAATCAAGTCATTTCGACCTAATGTCAAATGCTAAATACCCTCTCCAGGATCTGCTTACAGACAGCTCTGTTTCCAGGCAAATTTACAGACATTGGGTTGTTGTTTTTTCTTGTTTCCGTTGGATTTTGTGTGGTTTTGTTGTTGATGTTCCAAATGATCATGAAATTATTAAGACCTCTCATGACTATTACTGTTAATGAAAACTAAAATGCCTGCTCTATTTTAATAATGTGTTAATTTTCCTCTAAATAGATCCTGTGCTTCTAGATTATCTCTGAGCACCTCAGCACAGATATTTGAGACAACAGCAGATGGTTAAGAGTCCTGGCAGAGACAGCTCATGTAGAAATGCCCTCCTGGGATGAGAGAAGATTGAAGACTTGTCTCTAGGCACTGGACTGTCTTTGTGGAACTGGAATAAAGCTGTCTGAGGCCTGAACATGACAAAGCTTAAAGTACACACAGGAAGGGCAAAATAGAGCAGAACAGGGGAAAAAAATAAACAAGAAATAGGAGAGTACAAAAGAGGATAGTGGTTTCTCTTTGCTGAAGGTTGCTGTGCAAGCTTACTCCCTGAGGTTTTATGAGACGTTATTAGAATGAGGAACACTGCTAGCAGTGAGTGTCTGAAAATTTTTTTCACATAGGTGAAGGCTACAAATTGTTTTCTAGATCAAAATACAGATTGTCACTTACCGAATATCTGTCTTCCACATCAGTTCCCCTGACATTTCTCTGCCATTTCAAGCAGGTATCATTAAAAATTAGTACATTATTGAAAGCTTCCTTTACTGTAAAGACAATAAAAAATGGGAACAATTTATTACAAAAACTTCACCTCTTCAACTTAATTGAATATGAGCAGCTGAAATAGAAAAAAAAAAATGGGTTGGGGGGCTATTTTAATTCTGTTCCGAGAAGGAGGTAGAATCTGATTTCTTTTAGAATGAACAAACACAGCAAATAAAGCACAAACATTTTCCAGGGAAAATGGCTTTCGGAAAACCCAAGCATGCTATTAAGGAAACCAAGGTATGACTTATTTGTCCAGACTTAGGGAGGTTATAATGACAGAATGTTCCAGTGGTTCAGACCTTCTGATGCAAGTGAAGTTATCATAGAACAACTTGTCACATTTTGTGGATTCCAAAGGCAATTATTTCTCAAGGTCTGTTCATCAGAATTAATATGTCAGACAGCAGGATTAAAGTTTCCATGACCAAAATGCTACAGAAACCTGCTATTAGAACATGTTTTCTCTGGAATTACTGGAAATTCCAATTACTGGAAAATTGCCAGAACACTGCTCATCACTGCTAAACGTAGGAACATTACCTATAATGAGCACATTTAGATTAGTATCACACAGCTCAGCAACAGGAAAGCCTCTCATAGGCAGAGAATCAGTTTTCAAGACAGGGAACAGAAACCAGTAAGCATTGTACCATGGACTGAAATTCCAGTACGTAGCCAGGAATGCCACTGCACCAATCCTGCCTCAGCCAGAAGACAAAACCTGAAGAAGTGAATTTGCCAAACCTTTCTGAAGGGCACTTACTGCCACTGCTCTGTCAGCTCACAGATTCAATGGCCACAGTATGCAGAAAAACCTCTTGCAGAAAAATAAAATGCTGATGATGGCTACATGAGTGCAGTCAGCATAAAGAATAAGATCGTCTAGGAGACAGCCTGTTATCCTGTCTGCTAGACTCAAAACAGTTAATTCTGCAGCACAGTAAATTCTTCTATAAGCACAGAGAATACAAAACACAACCTACCCTTTGTTTGAACTGCTGCTGTAACTGAGACAGGGATGTTTGTGGAAGAAATTGTAGTAATATTCACCACGTAGTTACTGCCAGAGTCGAGATCTAAACACACCTTTGGATTATCTTCATTTGTAGTGATGTTAAATATCACACCTTCCGAGAACGTCTTCTCATCCCATCTCTGGCTCAGTATGTGAAACTATTGAAGGATTAACAAAAACAATGGTACAAGTGGTTGTGGTTCTCCAAAATTCAGAATTCAATTAAGCCTTGAGAACCTAGGATTACATCTGATTTAGAATATCAGCTCAATTTAAAAAAAAAAAAAAAAAAAAAAAAAGCAAGTTTGTGATTAACAGTTTTGGTGGAACAAGATGGCTTAATAAATTAATCCTTAATTTCTTCTGACTGCTAAAACTATGAATTCTTTTTTCCTATATACCTACAGCATATGGAAGAAATCTGTAACACAGACCCTAAAAACACCTCCAATGCAAATAGTAAGGTGTAAGTAAATATTCTTTCTTGTTTACAGCACAGAAACTACATCTGCTTGCTACCTGCTTCATCTTCTTCTCATTCTTCCCCCTTGCCCTACAGACTTAGTATTAAGACTTAATGCCAAACAACAGTAAAAAGGAAGCATCCCTAACATCATCCCAGTGCAGTGAAAAGAGAAACCAGTTGTTCATACGAAATGAAGGGACAGACAGAACTTACCTAGTTGAGCTCAAGGCAGTCCAGATCCAGGTTGTGTTCTGAACTTTACTGCATGCATCCTATGCCTACCTACATACAAACTAATATTTGTTTGTACTAGTAAGTTTGTACTACCTACGAACTGATATGCAGTTTTCACTATTGTGAAGCATCTTGCAGATAGCTGAATTCAGGCAAAAGCATGTGCACAGAGCACATTACATCAGAGATACACAGCTTGCCAGTTGCCACTGGGTACATGAAAAGCTCTACTTTTGAACCATTAGGGCAACTGGAAATTTGGCTTTTCCATCTCAGCAGTCCCTCATAAGGGCACACAAACTAAATTTTAACACAGGAAGAGAAAGCAGATTGTTTTCCAAAATTATCACTCAACTTTAGTATTTTCCCCATCCTGGAGATCCTTTTTCGTTTTCCCCCTACTTGTACATATTAAAAAAACAAAAACAAACAAACCAGAACAAAAACAAAACAAAACAAAAGCCCACACCAAAACTGCAAGCAAACAAACAAAACCCCCAAAACAACACACAAAAAACCACCAGAAAAACCAAAAAAACACTCAACCTTTCCTGGGATCTTGTCATTCTCAAAACATACTAATTCTTATGTTGTACTGGCTTTCAGTAACGATGATTGAACTATTTGTTTCTGAGAATTTATACCTTAACTTTTATTCTTATGTTTATAAATGGGGTAAAAAATAGTTACCAAGGTCACTTCCTATTTCCATGGAAAACAGTTCTAAAATGTCCAAATAAAAGTTAAGTCTCTTGAGCAAGGTATGGTATTTCAGTATACCCTGCATTTCTAAAACAACTTACATCCAGCATCTGCAAGTGATACACTGTTTACTCGAAATGTTTGCATCACAGAGGGGGACAGAACCCAAGTTTTGCAATTTTTTCTATGTCAATGTGACCTTGAGCTCTACAACAGAATTTCACTAAAACAAACTTGTGCTGAAACGCTCCTTATATACCTTCAAGCAGATATTTAGGTGATTTACTTTTGAGTTTTTCACCTAACTTGAGGATAGCTACTTGTTTCTTTCCTAACACCTTTAGGTTTCTAGGGAAGAGCAGGAGAAACAACAAACGAAAGCCACAAGCCTAGTCTCCACTGCTGTCTCACCAAAATTAACCAGGACAAAGCTACTCCCAAACTCAAATACTGCCCCACTTACTGTGTATGTTTTTTGCACTCCTAGTCTTCCAGTTTTCCTTTCCCACTTCACACATGTTTCATTGAATATGGACAAATTACTGAATAATTCCTCCTCTGTGAGCAAAAACATGAAAACAGAAGGAAAAGTTATTTCTCATGCAAATCTTAACACGTTTGGAGCAATTGTTTTTTTTTTTTCTTTTTCTTTGTTTGGGGGAGAAGGGAAATTGTTGGTTTGTTTTAGTGGCTTTTTTTTTTTTAACACTTGAAAAGAAAAAATGACACAGGCAGAAGCTGGGTAACAATTTTTACCTTAAGTGTGTCAGCTGCTAAAATTAAAATACAAGGCTAACTGAAGAAGCATGTTCCAAACAAATGACTGCAGAGTCCTTAAACACACAGCATTAAGTAAACTACCATGACCAGTGGTACAAAATATTTTGCTAGGCTTGCATTTTAATGTAGAACATTTCAATTCTAATGACTTTGAAGAGGACATTAAAACTACATTACAATTTCCTCTTAGCAAAGGAATAAGCTCATTAACTCCATCAGACCACTAAAACGGTCTGTTATATAAAAGCATACATATACAACAGCGCCGCTTCTTACACAAGGATTTTCAGCATATGTTGAAGACTAGAATTTTTCATACCACGTGACCAATGCAGACAAAACAGTCAAAGAGAAAAGACACTTTGCTCTGCTTCATACTTTCCTCCTAGGCATAATACACTGAACTTGTACCACGCATATGTATTCCAACAGTTCTGGCTGAAGTGTGCTTATGACAGCATTACACCACTTGAAATGAAGAACAATAAACAATACCCCACTTCCACTACTTCTGCAACCCATTCTGTGTCCTCATTGAACTTCAGTGCCAGAGACTGGATCTCTTGATACACAACTGTCTGTCTTCTAAAGAATGAACCACTCACAAATCAACTTGAAGACTTTGTAGACCATTGGATCTCATGGATTAGAAGTCTCATTAAACAGCAAATATAAAGGTAATGTAGATTTAAAAAAGCTGTCTAAGAGCCTGCCTATAAGCCAACAAACTTAAGAAAATGCTCTTCTAAATACAACAACCCGCATCAAAGCTGTTCAAGAAAGCTTCTATATAAGATTGGAAAAGAGCTTTTTGTAGTTGAATGAGTATCTTTGGTTCCTTACCTGTTTGGGTTGCTTTTTAAAAAGATGTCAACATTTTTCATTGTTTTATTATAAATAAAATTATATAACACAGACTGAAACACTTTTCAGAATAAACGCTAGATTAAAAGAATGAAGCCCACAGAATTAAGCCTGTGTGGAGTATAGTTGTAGCAACCAGCACTACATCCTTCAACAAACCTGTGTTAATTTACACTCTCTGAGGAGTTGTCTTATGCCTCGCAGAAAAAAAACTACAGCCAGGCAGATCAACTCGTATGTTTTTTTCAGGCAACTCTCTCACTGCTGTCATCAGACAGAGCAGTTGCCTTCACATGACAAGGTAATGAAGAATTCCCCCAGAGCTAAGAACAAAGCTTCTTCTGGTCACAATTCAGATTGACAATGAATGTATTTGCTCCTCTTCTTTCTTTCTCCAGCCTTCAGTCATTCCTTTGCCCTACTACCATATTTTCTGATTATTTCCACTACAAGACCAGGGTCATACAAATCCAACCTCATGTAGACTCCAAGCTAAAAAGCCCTTACTAGCTGCTGAAAAAAATTAAGGGATTTTACATGACAGCCTTGGTAGATACTCGAAACATTCACTCAATACTTGGGAGTAATGTCCTGCTGTAAAAGCAAGCACAGCTCAGGGCACTCATTCCTCTGTATGTAAACTTCAATCGCCATTTCACATGGAGCACATGGACAAGACGCTGTCACTGAAATGAATCAATACATCAATAGTCTCTAAAATTCCTACATACAGGCAGTTAATTCAGAACTAAAGTGTAACTGCTTAAGTATTTTGCAGCACTTTTTTTTATAAAAACCATCATAAAAATGTTTTCTAATAATATCTCCCTCTCCACATATTCAAAAAATAGATGCCTCACTCACTAGACTCATTGTTACCTCAACGCCAAACTGTGGTTAAATATGGAAATGCTATTGAAATCTTCCTCTTCTAGAAATAGAAGAAAGAGATTAATCTGCATGTCCTTCAGAACAAATTTCCATACACATGGCTGTGCCATTAGATGTCTCTAAATGATGCTTATTATTATGTTTCACAGTAATGTCTAGAAACTCCGCAGTATTAAGACTTCTGTACCAACACAGAACAAAAGAGCATGTTCAGTTGTTGTGTTCTTAAATCAGATACATTTTTATTGAGAGACTGGATGTCAAAAATAACTCATTAGAGCACAGCCAGAGTGAGAGGACTGCATAGCCATGAGATCTGACTCAAAATGCATAACCAGAAAAGAAAAAGTAATCTCTGAGACTGCCCAGCAAGAAAATCAGGCACTTGATTCAGGAGTTTATAAACTACCCAGGGGAAAAAAAAAAGAAAACCAAAATAAAGCAGCAAACAACAGAAAAGTGATTATGCCATGTGTTAAGGCAAGGAAAGAAATCTTACAAAGTGATCTCCTTGGAAGGAAGAAGGCAGAACTAACAGATTTTTTTCTGTATCTGCATCAATTTTTCTGTTATGCTTTCTGAACTTTCAGAAGGGTAAGGCCACCATGCAATTACTATACATCCAAAGAACACCTGGCAGACTTTTCCTCAGAAGCTTCCACAATAAAAAGGGAGGAGTGAAAGAGGATGGAAAGCATGCACAGAGCAAACACAACAACATTACAGACTTTCTAAGGAGATTGCTTTCTCTCCCTGACTCTTACTGATCATACACTATGGATAATCAAACGTACAGTAAGTGTCTGGTTTAACACTAATCCCAATAGATTAAACGCAGTATCCAGTAACAGCACAGAAGTATCTCTGAAAGAACTATTTTTGCATGTAAAGGGCCCCAGGTTTTCTGACAGTTTAATTCTACTGTGAAATCTAACAGTACCAGGGACTTAAAGAGCCTGTGAATTCTCCGTACCTGCCTGGCCTCAGCAGATGAGTCTTCAACATATCTGATTTTGATCAAGAGCTTTCACTCAGATTCAGAAATGAGATGGGAGAACTGAAGACCCTGAATTTACCCATACTCCAACACTAGAAATTTCAGCTTTTGATTAAGTGAAGGCCACTGGATGTCACTGCTGCTCCACAGACCTCCACATTAACCTCAATCTCCTTCACATGCCAAGGGATAAGGTCCTAGAAACATGCAAATGCCTGGAGTCCAGAACAGAAGGCTGTAAAAAGATCCTGGAGGAGTCAAATACTGAAAAGCAAATTTGGGAGAGGGTACAGAAATGCAATTGTGAGGAAAGACAGGTACCAGGAAAGAGAACACAAATGGGAGAATGCAAAACGTGAGCCTCAAAGGGATTCAGTGACCATTAGAGGACGGCAATGTTAAGAAAGTCAATGTTAAGAACACCAAAGAGATTATTTCTAAGAAGGAAAACACAGAGTGAACGTCTCAGTCTTCTTTACTTCACCTTTAAAAGCTCTGCTAGGAAGGAGGACCTCTCTCTGTGCATGAGCAAGTGGGAAAATCATAGTAATTACAGCCAGTGCATTAATGCCTGTAGTGTTACGCTCTTCTGCTTTAACCCTGTTCTAGGAAGACCAACCTTAATCCTTCACTTATCCTCTGCAAGTTCAGGTCCTAGTACTCAGGGTTATTATTTGTTGATTCAGAAATAAACCTGAACTCAGAGAGAACTTTACGTTTAAACCTTAACTCAGAGAGAACTTTATGTTTAAAACCACATGACTTCTTCCACATATACAATCCACTAGTCCTCAATTGAAAGAGCCCTTAACTAAGACTGACCTCAGCTTGAGATACGTCTTATCAGTTAAGTATTTCTGGACTTGCATGGGAAGATGGTATTTATCAGAAGTCAGATAGAATCAGCTCAAATCTAACATTTCATCTTCTGCAAGTAGCTAAAAGAGCATCCACATGTACAAATTCATTTACTAAGCTCTTCCCACCAATCCCCACACATACATGCAATTTAGGAAAAAATAAAACCCAAATATTAGCTTTTTATATATGTTTTGCCTGTTCAATTCTGTGAAAACTGTGAATGATGCTGGAAATGCCATCTGCTATTAACATGTACCACACTTATGTTCAGATAGAGAAATGAAACGAATGCAAACAACATTTTTAAGACAACTTCTGCCCAGAATGTTTCAAGGCACCTGCTTCATAGCACACAGGCAAATTCCTCTTGCACAGGAGCTTTTACAAACACTTATCTTCAGTATTCATACCTTTTTAAGGCAGCATGATAAGTTTTTATGATTTTTTTTTACATTTTGAGTAACATAATTGCTTCCATTTTAACTAGAATTGTAAAATTTCAGCAAGTTTTCATCTTCAGCCCCAAACTTTACACAGACGAATCCCACAAAAAAACAGCAAAGCTGCAAGCAGACAGTCATTCAGGAAGGAGCAGACAGATAGCTAATGATTTACTACTACCTTTGGTCTAAAAATGTTACCAGGAGACAACCAGGAGCAGAGTAATTTATGCATTGAATAAGACTGACAAAAACTCAACAGATACAATTCTGAGCACACTTACAAAGGAAAGATGTAGCAATCAAGGGTGTCAGACTAGCCAGGATTAGATAGGCTGGGATTAGAGATGCATATGATCTACTCCCAAACTGAAGGAGATTCCCAAGACTGGTATTTGTCATCACAATCTTTGTAATTATTAAACTGATTTCAAACAAACAAATAAACAAAAGCTTAAATAGCCCTGCAAAAAGCTATACTTTTTTCTTTAACTGTCACTGGGTTTCATCACTTTGAAGCACCTCCCATAACACAGAATACACCTGTGTTTTTCCAGGCAATTAAAGAAACTACTAGATTACTAGATGTCTGGATTTAATGTATCAAATCAGGCCTTTACAAGAACTTTACAAGATTCTTTTCATTGATGACTATAATTATCCTAATTGTTTGGTGGGGTTCTTATTCCTACAGGACCATGAGTTTTGAATCAATGCCCACAGATGTGAGTGACACCTTTTCCATTAAATTCATAACTGTTGACATGAAATACTTACACTACAGCTGGGAACAGGAATTAGGACAGTGACAGTTCCTCATTCATTGTTGTGAGGAAATTACTGATGCTGCCACCACAGAAACATCCCAGCTGCCTTTCTGTATCATCTCTTATTGTACAGGTAATGATTGTATAAGAGAGTAAAAACTGACATCCCACAGAATTCCAGCTAGTGGAATTCTGCCACTGGGAATAGGGATAAAGCACTGCAGAAGAAGGGAAAGTGAAAGCCAAGGGAAAACAACTGTGTATTGAAAAGAAAGTAATGAGACTCTCTCAACTGCATGGAAATTACCTTTGCTGTACGTCTACAGTTAAATTACACCTAATGGATGAATCTGCTCCACTTATTCCAGACTGGATTCAGATTTCACTTTTGATTTTTTCAAGGCCTTTTATTATTATTATTTTCACAGTATTATTTTCCTCTTCTGCAATGTTTTCAAGTGCTTACCACCCTTACTGCCTAACATAACTTTGGAAGGCTCTCAGTACCTACCAGTAAGATTGCCATACTGTCAGACTCAGCATTAAAGGGAAACAGATGTCAATTTCTCCTGTTCTCTACAACAGCTGCTTCCCCCTACTTGACTTTTGGAATGTTTTACTAATAATGTGCATTACTTTTCTATGCAGGCCAGATTAACTCACTTCCTCCAGCTGTTTTACATATCCATGGACTTTTTCCACCCATGTGCAAGAGTTGCTTCTTTTGCAAGGACAGTGTTTCACTTAACACATCAAAGCCACTTTAATACAAGCATTTCTAATAACAGGGAATTGCGGTACTGAAGACTTACTTAAATACTGAAAATTATTCTTTAATACAGACTTGTATTTTCTTCTCCTTGGATAAAAATAAGGTCAACAAACAGAATACTAGCAACCTCCAAAGACAAGAGATGTAGAGAATGAGTTTTCTAGAGAGTCTTCTAGGATCAGAATAATGAGCAGCAGCCAACCCAACCTGTGTGCTTATAGTTGGACTACAGTCAATTGTTACAGAAAGGATAGATGTCGTGGCTTAAGATGCAGTGAAAATGCTCTTCCTGACAAGGGTATCACTAGGACTTGGGACGGGGAAATTCAAAAAAGCTTGATGAATAGTAGAAGGGAGGACTCCGGAAACAGGATGAAGAGAGCTGCAGTAGGTGAAGAGAATGTTTCCCTCCAAAATATCCCTAACAATTGCCCAATTAACATAGAAAACAGCATCAGACACACTGTTCCCTTTGTGCAGGAACCGACACCTTCATAAATGAAGAAGATTGGAAAAAGTACCTGGTATTAAGAGCAAGGCAACCTCATAAGCACCTCATTCACTGTAATTCATCTTAACTTTCTCTGGATGCCCAAGAAATAAGTTCTCAAGAGTTAAGAACTGTGTAGATGTGTGTGTGTGTGTTTACATGAATGCACATCCACAGTATGCATATTTCACTTCAGCTTGTTAGGAACAAGCATCAGACAGCCAAGGCACAAATCGCCTTTTTTTCTGGCCTTCTTACAGCCATAATAAATAGACAGATACATAAACAGACAGACACACAGATTGATCGATCGATCTTCTGTGCAGAATTCACTCAAAAAGAAAAACATGAGTGGGAAGACTTCATACTTTTCTTTTCTATGAAAAAACAACTCTAAGTCTTGGGGTTACCTGATGTCTGATTTTGAGCCCACACCCAGAACAATCTCACTTGGTAAGGTAAGTATTACTAACAAAAAAGCTCAAGTTAACATTTTCTCCTCTGAAATGCACAGTGGGAAAAACTATCTTACTGTGTCAGACTACCTTGCATTCCACCATTTCATGCTACAGTGCTTTATAGTCAAAGCTGTCCTTTGAAACAAACTGAAACATTATTCCTATAAGACGGTAATTCTTCCACTCTGTAAAAAACTTCCAAGGTTTACCATGAAATCTCACCAGAGGTCAACACAGTTAAGTGCCTGATATAATATCACACCATTTCTGAAAATAAAAATGAAATAAACCGTATGTTCCTGCTCCACAGGAGAGAAAGTTCTTCCAAGACAACCTATAGAGAATGCCCAGACTCACATGTTGAGCGTACTGCACAGCAGACATTTAACTGTTGTAAGTTCTCTGCACTTTAGTGTCTTAAGTTTACGTATACAGATCAAGGTTTGGGAAAGGAAGATTGCTATTCAGCTGACTATTGCCAGACTTCACTAATCCAATCAGCATCTCTCAGTAAAATCAATTTTGTTAAGCAATTTTGAAACTTATAAACCAGATACTACTAAAGGTACTTGCATACATATATACACATGCTATATACCCCAACAGACAATGCAACAGACAACACAAATAAAGGGCATTCCATAGCAATCCCTGCCTAAGAAACAAAGAAGTGATACCCTTGTCAAAGGGAACATGCCCAGGGGAATTTCTCAACTTCTTTGCTTCTAATGAGATTTCTCAGGCAGTAGGACGACAAACAGTTTTTCAGCTCTATCATAAGTTATTTTGGAATGGTACATGATTTTATTTTAATAGGAATTACTGATTAATTACACAGACCCTTAAGATTACATACATCTGAAACACATCATTACTGAAACAGAAAAGTCTTTTCATTTGAAAGTATTTTTTTTTCCTCTAGTAAGTGTAAAAAATGTAGAAATAAAAAAGCTGAAGATCTTGCTGCTAGTTTCCTATTCATGATATTTCGTGGTTTGTGGGTTGTTGTTTTCTTTTTTTAACAGGAGCCTGGACTAGTTAGGCTGTTCTTTAAAAGTGTTTTTTTCCCCATTCTATTTGCCCATAACTCTTTTTTAGGCCTTTGATCCAACAGCTAGAGCTGGTGTATACATTTTTGCCTCTGGTAAAGGTCTTGCTGAAATCCTGTGAATGCAGTCTGCAGAAGCCCTCTGCTTAGAAGCCCTTCTAAGCTTCAGAGTGCTCAAGACCAAACTCTCAGCATTAAAAAGACTGACACACCTGACCAACTTAGCCACTCTACACAATGCTGGCTTCAAAGCCAATTCATAAAGTACAGCTATGCAGATTGTCTAAATGAAATACGAATTCTGCCCTCTAACAACAGCAGTTACATTTTTATTAGGGCTCTGTCAAAAGTGAGAGAGCTTCTTTTCTGCATGCCCATTTTATTTGATGTTACGTGTTATATTTGCAGTGAATGCTCAAGACATCAAGTGAGGCAAGAGAGGTATCAAGCAGCAACTCTTTGTGTAAAGGCTTTATCTGTGAAGTGGTAGCAGTCAAAGACACACTTCCAGTCCTTTTGAAAAGCATGTGGCTATAACAAAGCTACATAAACACTGCCATCTGCAAAAGACAACACTGCTACTTAAGAACAAGAGATGGGCAGTGATCTATGACCTGTGACATCTTTCTAAGGATAGGGAAGAACACTAAGGAGCCCAACAGACATAGTCCAAAACATCTGCTATTTTTTTTTGCTATTATTAAAATGTTAGTATATCCTGTTTCCAAGCCCATAGTATGACACCACCTTCATTACAGATCTCCCTTCTCAGAACTCATTCTTTTCTAAGAAAATCCTTCTGGGCTGAAATTCTGACAACTGGATGCTGGAAAGGCATCCTTGAGCAAATTTTACTTAGGGCTTTATGAGAGAAGGGGGAAAAAAAAATAAAGGAGTTTTGAATTCCATTGCCCCTACTTTCATCACAGTGCACTTCGCAGTATTAGGCCCACAACAAAATATTATTAAATGTCTTCTGCTCATATAGTTCCCCTGGCTTTTAAAGTTCAAGGTTCTCAGTGCAGCAGTGTAACTCCGATTCCATTAGTCCCTTTCAATTTGAAATAAAAAGGAAGACAACTAGAGAAAGATCTGTGGCATCCATTAGAAAATGTTGCACAGTTAACATTCTCTTCTGTGACCTTTCCATACAAAAGTACCACCACATGCCCTACATGGTAAATTAGGCAGGGATTTCTTGCCTTCATCCTTCCTCCTGTTCCTACCTTCAGAACAGGAATGTGAAAATATATAAACAGCATACCCCACAGCAGCCTCCTACAGTAATACGTACCTTTGCATACGAATGTAATATTCTCCCACGACTGATCTATTGTGCATTCTGAAAAATTCCTCCCTCCATTAAAATAATATCCTTCTTTACACTGATAGTACACTCTGCTCCTTAGGGTGGTAGAGTTGTCCCAGGTCATTTCTGTATGTGGAATCAGCAAAGGTCTGCCACAGTCTATTTCTGAAATAGAAAAAAAAGAGGGTAACAAAACCAGAAAATTAAAACAAGTATGGCATATCAAAGCATTTAAGGAAGAGAGATGAACTGTCCCAACAAGCAACGCTTCACTTGTTTTCACTTCTAGTAACTTCGAGAAGCCAGGCCAGCTCTTTAGAACCCTGAATTTTTTAAGTGGAGAATTTCCAGCAGGGTGGGGTATTCATCCTTCAAGATGAGCCATAAAATAGAACAGTGTCCTGTTTAGAAATGGAGAACAAAGATCTCTAAGCAAATTTTTACAAATACATCTATCATCCCATAACATTATTGTAGCCCCCACATGCTATTTATTCCTTTATTTTACCTACCATGAGTAGGTAAAAAAAAAAAAACAGATGTGAAAAATGACACAAGTAGTAACATGGAAGAACAGCATCAAGAACAGAATCCACTGATCCTTTGCTAGTGGATTTTATTCAAGCGCTGGAAAACAGGAGAAGCTGCTACAGACATGAGAAAGAACACCTATGGGGGTGTATTTGGGGGGTTAGTCAGAGCACTTTAGAGGTAACTAGAAAGCTGGGATAATGCACTTATAAATCAACAAATTTGCTCAGCTGTCTCCAAGGCCTTCTTAATAAAATGAGGAAACAAAAAAGAATAAAGAGTGAAGAACAAACAAATGGACAAATATTATTTAGGGTTGAAATTCCCAAATCCACAGTGAACACTGCACCCCAATAAAAGACTCTGAATCACTTAACTTATAAGAAGTAAACAATGTAAGAATTAAAATTTTACCTTCATTATAGCTTATATGCTGTGCTTTTAAAATATTTAATGAATAATCCTAGGCAATTCTGAAATTTAACTCAAAAAAGAGAGAAAAAAAAGACATAAAAACCAAATTTTATAATTGTGACATGTACAACCTTTAAAAGTAAACATATGTTTTGCAACAGGTAATACATCCACCTTCATGACTACCTCCCTTTTCATATACCAATGTATGAACATATATATCTATTATAAATCAGAAGAAGAAGCTTCAGAATAACTGACGCACATGCAAAGAGCATGCTTAAATTCTAGAAGGACAGTATGTGATGAGACACAAAGATTACTACTGCTTAACTCCAGCTACCAACCCAAAGCCACCTTCTAATTAGACTGGAAAGCAGAAATGTGTTTCTGTGTAATATAGTGAACCTTCTATTTGGACTGATGACCCAGAATAAGAATATTAGAGAAGATTCTAAAAGTAGAGAGAGGTTGTAACATACACATTGCACATTCAAAAAAAGTCACTACATTTGATTGCAAAAAATGGAAGACTTGACCCTCCTGGATCAAATTGAAAAGATATTAAGCACCCAGTGAAAGTAAAAGTGAAGTTGTGTCAATATAAAACTGACTAAAGACTAAAGATCCCGAGGTCACATTAGTTAAATATCAGCTCAGAGTAAAAATACAGTGGAAATATTTTTGGGCAAAATAACTCGCTTTTAAATGTACCTTTGAGCTTCTTCTCATCAAGAAACTTGTTGGGCTACATTCTTCTAGATCATAATAACACAAAGGATTTAGGACTCATGTCAAGTAACAATAACTTGTTTGAGCAATCACAGTTTGCAACTGGAAACTGTCTGAATATGGATTTTTTTAGGGATGATAACTGCTAATAGTGGTTCAATTTCCAAGTAGTGGCTTCAACCACAGAGTAGATACTGAGCTAAAAAAATGGCAGCAATTTAGGATAGATTTTCATCTCATGTTAATCCTGATGTCTGACATGCGTTGGGATTTTGTCCCTAGAACGGTAACTTTTAACAATTTATTGCAACCTCATTAGCAACACAGGTTAAAACAAAACAAAACAAAAAACATACTGTTTAATATGTGGCTTCTGTTTTGTGACTGAACATGCCAGAAGCAGTCTTCTGAATGTCCAAAGAGGATGTCTCTGACAACTGCTATTTATTCTGGTGTCTGAAACAGTATCTGTGCTAAGTAAATCTGAAGGCAGATTTGATTTACCTTTGCACACCAGATCAGTACCATCCCACTGTCCTTTGGCATTGCAGACTGCAGTCTGATTGCCACTTGCCATGAAGTAACCATGAACACAACTGTAAGTAACTTCACTTCCGTATGTAGTCCCACTTACAGATGCTGGATGTGCATTTAAAACAGAAGGTGGAACTCCACAATCCACACCTAAGAAGAGGAAGAAAGAGGAAGATAAACTTATTATTCAAGCAGCAGAAGCAGTGACAGCTGCACTCCCGTAAGTATTTCTTTCATTGTTACCAACTAACCCTGTTCTGCGTTAATCTAACACTCCCCAGATGCCCTCTGTGACATCCCCACTGTGACCAAGACTGCTGTAGCTACTCTTAGCTACACCAGAGCTGCTTCCATATAAAATAACTTCCCTCTGCTTTTGTCTCAGAATGGCATGCTAAATCTGTGACTCCCTCCTCAGCTTAGTTGCTAGTATACCGAAAACGTCCTTTTTTAAGAACAAAAAATTAGGATTATCCTGCTTTTACAAACCTGATTACAGATGGCAAGCTGGTTCTATACCATTTGCAGTGAACAACAGTCAGAGGGAGGCAGATGAGCAGAAACTGCCTTTAGGATGACAAAATTTTTGAAAGTGCACAAGGACTGGAGAAATGCAAAACCACACAAGTTTACAACATACAACACAAAAGCTTCCTGTTAAACCAACAGTCTACATCTGTTCAAAATGTGTTGTAATAGTTGCTCTACCCGCAAACATGCAGAGCTGTCATTTACAAGTGCCTAAAACAAAGAAGTCAAGTAGTACAAAAAAGCAGCTTGATTGATATGCTGTCCATTTTCTAAGGTAAGCCACCATCTAAAAGGCTTTCATGTCAACATGACACAGCCCTCACGTTCAAGTTTAACTACACCTCTTCACATACATCACACCTTCCCATTAAGCTATCTGACTTTCCATCTCAAAACAATTCCATTATTAATATTCAAAGGAAGCTATAACCTTCAAAGACAGAGTATAGCCATACACTTGTATTTAAACAAAAAAAGAGGATCTGTTCCATTTACAGTACTCTGATGTTAGGTCACACATCTCACCAAGTCTGACCTACCTTCAATGGCCAGTTTCATCACGACTACATAAAATAAAGTCCTAAATTACCATGCAAAGGAAGACAAAAGACAAACCTGGACGAGGCCTTGGGTGATACGGTTTAGAGCAAGGTGTCCCTGCCCATGGCAGGGGGGTTGGAATCTGATGATCTTAAGGTCCTTTCCAACCCTAACTATTCTATGATTCTATGATTTTCCTAAAAAGGATGACATTACACTTGGCTAGGAGACAAATAAATGATAAAGACGTATCAGGGACATTCTCAGAGTTTAAAGAATTATTTAAAGGTGCCTTTACTAATATTTAAAAATAAATAAATAAGTAAATACATAAATAAATAAATATTCAGACTTGCTAGTTTTATGAAAAGAGAAGTCCTAACTGAAATCCAGGAAAAGAGCTTGCAACACAAAGGAGAAATAAGCTGGTTACTTCCCACAGACACACATAAAAACATTACATTTCTATCCTCTCTCAAAGAAAATACACAAACAAACAAAAGAAACAAAAAAGACACCAAGGAAGAATGAAAAACCAAGAGGGTTTTTGTGTCTTGAGTAAAGGAAGAAGGAACTCTCCTAAGTGATGATTTTCAGGATGACATTCTGCCCTACAGAACTGTTATACACTGTGTTAACTTCTGTTAGCTAGCATTTCCAAGTGTCATTTTAACTAATATACAGAGTTTGTAACTCCTCACAGCAACACAGAGTCCTGCACTTGTAAGGAGCAAATATTTCAACAGAATGGGCAGTTAGAACACCAAAGCAAGTGGAAGTTTTAAAGATGTTCTCAGGAATCTTGAACACTTCAGAGATGTAAAACAAATTGCTCATGCACAAATGCTCTTAAAATCATGAAGGCTACCCAGGGATGAAAGGTAGTATGACGCCTTTCTTTTGCATCTACAGCCAACCTTCAGGAAAAACTTCATAAGCTGTCATAAAAATTATTCTTTTCATGAGAGGTCACTAATGCCTTCTAGCTCAGTGGCTTGTTCCCTGAAAGAAAAGGCTACAGAAATCAACTTGTTTACTATGCCTTGGTTCACAGGTAGAAAGACACATTGCAGTGTCTGTAAAAGTGGAAGGATAAGCATCGAAAATGTCACTCACTAATAAGAATAGGTAACACCGTTTTATAACCTGTCCTTTTCTTTTCTTCTTTAATCTTTTTTTTTTTTTGCAAATAGCCAGATCTTGAGAAATTATCCTTTGGACTGAGGAAACAGTGTACTGTCTTCCACTAACACACTTCTCCATGCATAAACCACCTTAATGAAGAATTTAAGAAAGACTTAAGATTCTTTTCACCTTTACAGCTTAAAGTGGCAGGTTCCCAAGTTTCATTTACAGTGCAATATGAGAACTTTCCCTCGTTGCTGTAAAACCCCTCTTTACATTCATAATGAACCGCACTTCCTGGTAGCAAGCTGTAGTTCCCCACAACGTAGCCATGCTTCATTTCAGGAGGGGAACCACATCCAATTTCTGCAAAGAGACTGTGTTAGAAGATCACACAGTATAAAAATCACAACACATGACTATTTTAAAATGAGCTGAATTGGATGGTCGCATCATAAAATATGCCTCATCGTATGAATTTGAGAGGTTGCCAAAGAGGTATAAGATTAGAGCAGAAAAATTTTACTGGCCACAGTTGGAGAAACACAGTGATCCATTTATTGAGCTACACCTTTACTAACATACAGCTGGAGCCATTCACAACACCAAAGAGGAAACACTACAGTGTGATAGTGCTCTGTGTGTGCTAGTCTCACTACAGCAACAGATAAATAATCCTTCAACATCAGATGAAAATTTAACTTCCCAATGTGGAGTTTCATTTCCCTGTGCACAGGAAAAGTGAAGCACTGCACACAGGCTGAAATTAAATGGTTTGCCCCTCAATTGATCCACTTCACTGAACCAGCCTGCATAAAAAAAGCTACATTCCTGCCTGTGACAGGGCTTCCTTGTCCAGCTCCACAAGTAACACAGTCAGTACAGATGCACTTCTTTACCACAGCATGTGGAGGGTGAAGTTGGTGAGATAAGCAGGGCTGTCAGCACCTTTGTCAAAATGAAATGGAACAGTCCAGTTGGAAAAACGGGACAAGTTACAGGCAGTGAGCTTTACTGATGGTTTTTACAATAATTCAGAAATGAGAGCTGAATACAATAGAAGCACGTGAGCCTGGGATGCCCAGCTTCATTAAATACTGTGACAGCTACAGCTTTCACTGCTAGCACTTTGCATCTGTGAAAACCTACACTAGAGAGGAAAGGAAGAAGTTTCAAAATGTTTTTTTGTTGTTGTTGTTATGGCAAGATAAACAGAACAGCTTATTTATGCAGTTGGCAGAATACGTAACAAATAGCGAAACTGCTGTGTTATTATTACTGTATCCTCTCTTCCCTTTCCCTTCATGCAGTGTGGTTTTATAAACCAGTGGATTATACCATACTTCCTTCCTATTCAGAAACTAACTGCATTACCTTCATGGCATTACTAAGCTTCCTTGACCCTGCAGACCTGATCAACTTCTGAGAGCCTGTAGAAATCGTATCTGCTGTCAAGTCTACCATTCAGACATCATTAGAACAAACTGAACCCAAGAAGAAAGAAAATCATACAGCAAGCAAAACCCACAGAGGGCTTCTGCTCTGCGGACTTAAAGGCGCAGGTCAGAGCAGATATTACTATATCATGGAAGATCTGATTTTATCTGCTAGTAAAAACAGTATCCAGAGACTCTCACCTCTGCATGAAACTGTACTCCCATCTGGATGAAAAGAATGCTCTCCATTTTCTAATTTATAACCATCATTGCAGTAACACTTGTAGCTTCCTTCAGTATTCACACATTTTGCATTGTGACCACATAGCCCAGACGCCTCACATTCGTCTATATCTAAAAATTCAGAGAAAAATATATGTACTGCACAATAGTTTTGTTTTTGTGGTTTTATTTTTAACTAATTTATGTAGGACCCATGCTTAAAACAAATACAGTACTCCGTGAAGGGCTCTATGTAGCTTCTGATGGCTCTTCTGAGAAACAAAGGAGCATATCATTACCTAATGTTCCAGCATCTGGAAGGAGAAGACTCTCAATTTTGTAGCTAGCTACCTTTCAATTATTTTTTTTTTCTGTTTGACACGACAAATATTTTCCAATGTCACGCTACAACAATCCCAGAAAAATCCCGTATCTGCAAATACCTTAATCAGTTACAATTGTTCATTACTGTAACACAGAACTGGCTAATATTCTACTCTAAACACAAATATGACATTCTGGGGGAAGATAAGTATCATCCTATTTTCTTTAATCTAGTTTCTTTTGGAAACATTCTTGCTTGAATGTGACTGGAAAGCAATGATTTGTAACAAAGAAAAGAATGCAAAATAGAACTGATTCACAGCTGCTAGAACCTAATTGTCAAGTAAGTGCTGGCAGAACAGAAAGTGCTGTGATACAGTTTTAAAAAGTAAATTCCAAAGTGACAGGAAAAAAGATCTGGGTTGTAACAGTTTTGGATTGCTGGTGCTCAAGACTCTGGGATGTCTACCTGTACAGTTTGTCCCATCATTAGGGATAAATGTCTTGTTGTTGTTGGAGGCTCGATATCCATCAAGGCAAACACAGTAAAAGCTTCCGTGTGTATTATGACACAGTGTATGATTTCCACAGATCTTGCTGGCTCCGATCTGGCATTCATCTTTATCTGTCAGCACATTTAAAACACATCAGACAGAGATTAAGAAAAGTAAGGTATCCTCCCCTCCTCACTCATTCTTGGGTAAACAGACTTCCCCTTATCGTTTTTCCAAGTTATCAGCGATGTAAACACTGCTAGTAAGCTGGACGGACCATTTGGACCAACAGAGGCTGCTGTCCCTAAGTGGAACAGATGTGAAAAAAAGTTTCATGACACAGCTTAAGCTGATCTAAGAGCTGTTGAAACCAGAAAGCCGTGTTCTTTGCTTCTGTTTTTCCTTACATAATGCACTGTCTGCAGCACCTGATGGAGCTTGTGCTGATCTTACCAACTCACTCAACTGGCAGAGAATTAACATGGCAAAATATGCAGCTTGTCTTCTTCCACAATAATGACATAAATGAACTCTGTGCAGGGCCCAAGAGGGTGCCACTGCTTGTGGAAGAGACCAGAGGTGGAGGACCTTTCCCTTTAAGCAGGGGTAAGCTATTACATTAACTCAGACACAATGTTTGACATCACCCTTTGATTCATGTACTGATTTCTCACGTACGAGATAGTATTAAAAGGACACCATCAGCTACAGTAATAAAAATATGCTGAACAACACTTTCCATGTAACAAGACATCTTCACTTAAGAAATCTGTGCACAGTTATTAAGGACAGACATTCAACTGATTAGTTTTCAGTCAGCCAGTAATCTGAGGTAACTGGCGAAATTAGCAAAAGATGTGCTGACAATTTTAATTGTAAGTTTTATTGTCTAGCTTTCAGCTCAACGATGCATAGGTTGAAAAGAATAATAAACTGAAGCCCACCATACTGATTTTTTTTTCCCTGAAGCTAGGACAAAAAATAAACCATTCCAATACATATTTTAAAAGTAATTGTTTGGTACAACCGTACATTTATCAAGACAAAATTAATTAAAATCCTTCACTATATAGGAGAAACCGAGTAAAACAGTTAAGCAACTAAGCAAAAACCAGTATTTGCATCCAGTACAGATCATGGTTAGCTGATGGAAAAAAAAGGAAAGAAGTCAAAAGCATCCACACATATTTTACGTTTTGGAAATTCTGCCAGGAAATGATAAAGCTTTTACTACACAATTCAGTAATATTACTTGAGAAAAAACATTTTAGGAATACACATGGTTTCTTGCCATTTTACAAAATGGCAGCCTACCTTGACAATGGGTTCTTCCATTGCCTACAAATCCGTAGTTACAGATGCAGACACTTTTTCCTTCAATTTGATGACATGTAGCGTGAACGTGGCAAGTCGCACAGACATCTGGAACTGATCTCTTTACAACTGCTTTAAGAACAAAAAGACAAAATTACTTCTTAAATTATTTTTTTAACAGACTAACTGGTAACTGAAACAGAATTTAAACTGGAGATACAATTCAGGTTAAAACACATAGAATAAAATCCTATCTCCCCATATCTCTTTTTCAAACTTGCAGGAAAACCACAGCCATAGTATTCAAAGACAAAAAAATAAAAGAAAGGATTAAACAAAATAACTACACTGAACCTTTTTTTTAATCTATTCTTTTACAATAAGCAAACCAGCTTGTCACTAAAGCCTGTGAGACATATAATAAATAGTTCTATCCAATATTCCATATTAATTTTATTTTCCATTTTTTATTTCTGTTTCTTCATTTATTCTATTATTTTGTTTCTATTATTTACACATAGACATTTGGGCTATTTATCAGTCTATTTGTAACCTGTATCATCAACATGTATATGGTAAAAATGCTATTCATAAAACCAATGTTGAGAATGCTGCCAGGAGGAGAATGACTTATGGAAACATTGTTTTAGAAATTAATTTATATTAGAAGTAGTTTACCATCATATGATACACAACCTAATTTACTGTAATTTGATACAGCTATAAATATACACAAAGCTAGAACAAAATGTGAACTTACTGCCTAATTTGTATTCATACTTTCAGTGTACTGTTTGCATTTCCCTCCATTTTCTGAAAGCTCTTTTTGTTATCTTCACACACGCACTGGCTTTCCAAATGACAAACGTTAGAACAGACAGCTTGAATGTAGACAGAACACGCATATGCTTACACCCTTCGTGTATTTTTTAATAAATAACTAATAGCACACAAGCTGATGCTGTCTCATGATGCTGGGCACAATACAGAATTCTTTTACTCTTCTAAGCTCAGATTAATAAGGATAGTGAGGTTTTGATAGAATACAAATCTCCCTGTGCATACTGCAGTTATGACCAATTTTTGCCTGTCTTCACATGGTGTCTAAACACATAACCGTAACTGGAAGAAGGCCCTAGCCAGCTTTTACACACAAAATTTATCAGTGTGGTAACACTGCCCCTCCGCACGCAGTGCTCTAGCTCTCCTCACAGCACATTTCTGAGTGCATTAAGACTAGTGGGAAGCATTATAGATTCCCCCTCCTAACTCTCCATGGTTTTATATACTTGTGTGTGTGCACCTAATAAGCACAGACAATACAACCTGTCAGCATGCCACGGCATCCCACGTAATCATAAAATTAAACTTAAAAACAGCCAACGGAACAACCTTCTCACGATGCCTCAATCCTCCGATAAGCCATGGGAGCGTCCTCCTCAGATTGCTGCTCCAGAAGATAAAACACGGGGGTTCCCCTCTCCACCTCCTCAGCGTCCCCCCCGCCCCCCCCTCCCCCGCTACGTATCAAACTTGGCGACTCACTTCTCCTCGGAAACACGCCATTTTCCACCCCGGCACCAAAGCCACCTCACCGGTCCAGCCCAGCCCTCTCGCCTACTGGCGCATGAGGCCGCCCCGGTGCCGCTGCCGCCCAGCCTGCCCACCTCCCTTCCGCCGCAACTCCCCTGGCCCATGGCCTCCGTCCCCTTCGCGCCTCGACCGCAGGACACCGCCCTCACGGCCCGAGGTCCCGCCGCAGCCCAGAGCGAGCGGAGCCGTGTCGGGGCGGCACTTACCCCTCCGCCGCGCTGCGCACTGCAGCAGCAGCAGCAGGAGCAGCCCCAGGGCCCGACCGGACCCCGGGCTCATGTCCCCGCCGCCGGCTCCTCGCCCCACGGTGTTGCTCGGCCGCGATGCCTCCGCATCCTCCTCGTGGGTGGAGGGTGGGACGGGAGCCCGTGGGGAGGGCGTCGCGCTGCCTCCCGGTGGGGCGGGGGAACCCCTTATCGCCACTGCCGCCGAACCCTCGCTCCCCCCTCCCCCCCACCCCCCGGCTTTCCCCTCGGCGAGGCCCCTTTCCTACCGCGGCCGAAGAGCCCTTGCCCGCATAGCCCTGGCACAACCCCTTTCCTTCCCCAGGACACCGCCTCTGCCCGGCCAGGCGAGTGGCAGAGCTGATAAGGGCTGTTGGTGTGTGCAGCAGCGGGCCCTCTCCCCGGGAGGGGGGAGAAGCAGAGGGAAGGGCTATTTATGATTCCTGGGAAAAGGGGGAAAGGCATCTGGGAGGTTAGCCCTCTTCATATGGGGCAGCTGTGCTGCTGCGGGCCTGGCCATGCTGGGCTCCTCCTGTCACGGCAGCAAATGATACTATGCAGCACTTCCTGGGCCGTGGTGTGGAGGAAAGGTGGCCATCAGCAGGTCCTTGAGCCTCCCATTTGGAAGGGCCAGCATTCCACTACGCTGCTGCACAGGGCTGCTGGTACCATCTGCACACTCCCCATGCTACAAATGGATGAAAACCTTGTAAACCACCAGCCTTTGTACCTGAAATGAAGTAACACTTTCTCCTTGTAGGCCTTTACCACAGAAACTTGGGTTTTAATGAGTACCAGTGGCACTGCCTGAAGAGTTTTCTAGAAGAAAGGTGATCCTCCTGAAGCTCACGGTCTTCATTCAGGTCTGTGAGCTGCAGTTTTAGCTGTATAAACTTCTGCAAACAGTTGACCAGTTATCACAGCTACAGTAGGGGACTGCCAAAGAGATGAATGGGGGAAGCCTAACACAAAGGTAGATTGTGGCATGCTTGATACACTAAAGAGCTTCCCGACAAGGCTTTGCTCATGTCAAGGCTTTGCTAATGTTGGCCTTACATTAATGCCTTTAATGTTAACACAGTCAGTTCCTCCACCTGCACTTCATTTAAGTGACATAACTTCATCTTACGCTGCATCTGTGGAATTACGACAAAACCCAAACACAGTTTAATAAAACTACCAGTTTTATTGATTTATGTAAGTTTTCCTTTCCCAGTGTTTTTTAATTATTGTTCTGCCTACATTTTAAACTAGCTTCTACTATCCTTATTCACCTTGATCAGGCCACAAAGTGACCTGCATCTTCAGCAGTGGCCAGTTACATTGCGATTGACCTTACTTTTGGAGCAACAGTCCATAGATGTCAGTACTGCATATTTCTATCTTAAATCACTGAAATTGGAGGCATGAATTCTCAGTGGTGGCAAGTAGTTTACCACAATAAGAAATGACTCAGAGAGGAATTATTCTGCACCACATATTAAAAGTGGTTTAGAGGGTTTTTTCCTCTCTCATAGCAGCCCACCAAGTTGCAGACCCACTAATAGCTGCAATTTCTGCTGTTCCTTTCTTAAAAAAAGTAGTGGGAGCAACTGCTTGTAATTATGAACACCTCACACAGCAAACAGGAAAATAATTTTGGCAGCTAGCCTCGTTTCATTATAAAAAGTTAAAAAATATACTATAAACATTCTTTAAAGAAAGTAACAAGGAAGTGTATCAGCCGAAGAAAATACACAGCCCAGAGTGGAACTCCTTGCCTTGTTCCAGTCTAGTATGTATTCAACAGCTGATTAGTTGCTGTTTAGGACATTCTTTAAGACATAATTAAACTACTCAAAACGGCTCCTTCAAATTACGTCTATATTGTTTGCATATCTAAATTTAAAGTACAGTCATATGAAGTGTTGAAAGATGTTGAGAGGTCACCTATTCTTTTTCCTTTATGACAATACAGGCTCTACTTAAATGATTCCTGACATACTTGTCTAACTTGCTGTTTACAGTGGCAGTGATGTGGAATTCACAGCAATCCCAAGCAATCTGTTCAACTGCTTCGCTCTCTTTGTAATCTGAAAACGGTAATCTAAGGTTCAACTTAAATTTAAGTTAAATCAATTTAACTTTAAGTTAAATTAAGTCTCTTTTTTCAGCTCACAGCAGACTCCCAACACACTTCAAGATCTGGACAAAGGTTTGAATCAGCCACTGAAATGAGTCAAAGGTCACTTCTGCTCTGAAGTCACCTGCACGAGTCCTGAGTTCATTCCTTCAGGAAGACAATTAAAGATTTAGGAGGGTAGGACAGGTAAGTGTCCTAGTATGAAAACACAGGATAATGTCCACATAGATTCTCTGTTCTGGATAGGAAAAGGTTTTGAATCTTTTTACTGTCAAACTTCAAGGACTTATTTTGCAATTACAATATTTCCTTTGTCCTTACTAGCATTCAGTCTCACTACTCAGAAGACATCTGTACCAGTATTTGCTTCCATTTCTCTTCTTTGTGATAAGAAAACAGTTGTGATGGTCAAAGTAATTTAATTCATACAGACACACTTAGAAGTTCCCTGTGCAGTTTTTCCTTGCAGCTGTTTAAATGAAGGTAATTGAAAATCAGAAAGGCAAGCAGGATTAAACAGCTCCTCAGCCATCTAGGTTTGTTCTGTCTCCTTTCCAGATAGTGAATGTCACTGTGTCATCTAAATCCCATTCTTTTGCAAGGATATTTGGCATAGATTTCACTACTTACTCTGACATATAAAGGCAAAATATTTTTTAGTAATGATTCCTTCATCAAACATATTTTTAAAAACACAGCAAACATCTTCAACCAGAGTGAATAAATGTAATTTATCCTTGTTAAGAGATCTCTCAGCTATTCATAATGGGGTTGCATTCTTAAACAGCTTGCTAGCAGGTACTTCTTTCCAGCTGGCAATGAAAAGAGTAACTGGAATTTGATGGAAGGTTCTTTCCATCTGAGTTCTGCCTCTGTTGCCTATTTAGAGTGAATCATATTAATAACTGGTTTCTGGTTATCCTCTTAATTTCCAGAATAAGCAACACCAATTGCTGAAGCAGAAATAACAGAAAAATTGGCTGACCCTCTTTAGCTTCTAATGAAAATGCTTCAGTAAATATGGTGCAGAAGAAAGCATTCCCTTGTAGTGAATTTTGCTGCAAAGGAAATGCTACTGCTTGAGTTGTTTGCAGCATTTCTGTACTCTCAGGTGTCTCAACTCCTGACAAATGAAGTCAAATGAAAAAAAGAAATGGGATTTCTGCAAAAGAATTGAACTAAGAAATACCTGAATTTGAACCTTAAATATTGAATGCTTCTCCCTCAAGAATAGGCTTTGGATGAAACAGACACCAGAGCATGCCATGTACATCTCATAGCAAGAGCATGGTAGGTGATAAAGCCTGCTGACAGTTGCTGCTAATCAGAAGAGCGATTCTACAAAGCAAAGGGGCTGCTATCTGTGGGTTTTAGCATAGGAGTAGGAGCCCAAACTGAGCTTTGCCAGAAACTCACTGTAATCTTTGATAAGATAACCACTTTGTGTTTCTCTATGCTTATTCCTCCCACTTAATTGTAAAACTGGGGTAATATTCCTACATAGGTGTTCAGGCTTAATACCATAAAAGCCTTATTTTTTAATACCATAAAGGCCTGAGATGATGCAATGTAAACTTCTCTGATAGAAGCTTTGATGTCACTACAATCTGCCTCAATTTTAAATCACAAAGACTTAGCATCAGAGAGCTTATGGGGCAGTATCCTAATATTGCTGTATCTTGGAATATCATGCAAGAAAGCTGCTGACTAGTCATTGCTTCTGATTGTTCCATGCTGTTATATACAAGCTGTGCCATTATTTTGAGGGCTATGCTAACTGAAGGCAATAGTTAAGAGAGGCAGAGTAATATCATTCCTTTCATAGATCGTAAAAAAAAAAAAAACCACAAAACCACAAACAAACAACAACAACAACAAAAAAAAACCACAACCAAACTCAAAAAAGCCCACAACCTAGTGCTGTGATTTTATTAACTCCAGATAAATGAGAAGCCATCTTTTTCTTTCTGATCCTACCAGTACCTGCTAAAATCAGAAGAGAAAGAACTGGGCAATAAGATTAATTCTGCTTTCTCTGCCAGATTCCTCAAGCTTGTCCACAGGGGTGCTGGCCTTACTCTTGCAGCAGCACAAAACTTAATAACAACATAGAGATAAGGTGACAATTAATGATAATTTCTTTGATAGGTACAGAAAGAAAACCAAATCCCACTGACTCTATTATCCTTCTCTCGCCATTAGCTGTGCTATATTTTGGGGCAAGTTCAGTGTAGATGTGCTATAATGCTTAGATGAGACACAGAGCAACTTTTAAAGTATATTATCTATGAAAATAAAAAATTCCATACACACATCATGTAAGAAGGGAAACCCAAATACTGACTAGAGACTCTAAACCAAACAGTTCTCAAGCTGTCCAGGCAGCTGGACATCCTTTACCCACAGTTTCTTTCCCAGCAGACCAAAACTGTATTTTGCCATCTGTCAATCTCATATCTGCATCAACACTTTGAAATGGGAAAGAAGATGGGAAAAATCTAATAACCAAACCATTTCCTAGTAAATACCTTGACTTTCCCTCCCTGGGTTGTTCTGCAAGCAATCCAGCTTTCATGCGCTGTTTATCCAGTTTTAAAGAAACTGTTGTTACCTCAATTAGAAAGTACCACAAGTTACTGTGGTTTTAGACTCCGGGAGCACAAGGCCAGCAGGACGAGTTGGGTTTCAAATTCATAACATGATGCATTCATTTTTGGCATACAAAGAGTGAGAGCTTTTGTCTGGTATCTCAAAATTCAGTTAGGTATGTATTATTTATACAGTTACTGAAAATCAGAAGAGAAAGAGACCCTGGGTGATGACATCCTATGTTATCATAAATTGTAGTAAAGACATAAGACTGACATTTCTAGGGAAATAAAAGGTCATCTAGTCCTTTTTTAAATGTATCAATTGCAAAGCTGACAGCCTTATTTATCTTCAGTTTACAATATTCCCACAAGGCTCTCCAAGACGATCAGTAATACTGCTATTCAGAAATAGATTGTCAGTAGGAGACCACTTAATCCAGTAACTGAAGGTTAAATCCTGTCTAGTACTGAACATTTGTTATTGCACCATAAAAATACAATGGCTCCATGTTTCATTGCAGGTCATCACAAGATTAAAATATTGTGCATATTAACTGTGCTTTTCTAAGCCGCCTCTGAAGAACAGATTTGTCCAGAAACATGTAATTTTTTCTGCTAGATTAAATGAGACAGTTAAGTGACCAAGATACCCCAGCAAGAGAAGATGTTGTTGGTAACATCTTA